TAATGTCAAAAAATGCACATAATTGTTCCACACTCACAGTTCGCGTTTAGATTATTACAGTGTTCTAAAATGCGTAATGCGTAGCGAAGCGTCGAGGCCGAGAATCAAGAATCACAAGTTTAGGCGTGTCAATACGAAGAATAAACGCCATAATGTTTTTCGTATTTTTATGACATTAAATATATTTTTATATAAAAAAAGAGATTTTTCAATATATCATAAAAAAAATAGAGTTAAAAAAAGGGGAATTCCCGCCTTTTAAATGGAAAACACATTTTTCCCGTATTTCCTGAATTCGACGCGGTTTTGACCCGAGTCGCGCCTAGATGGCGTATTTTCGCACATTTTATAACATGGGTTTAGACCAAACAAAAGAATGAACTAGAGCTTGATTTGAGCCCATTCTATGATTTCCTATTTTCTTATAGGGAAGAAATCTTGATTTTAATTTCTATCAAAATTAATAATTAATTTTAAACGAAACCATAAATTTTCAAATACTCGTCAAATTATATCAAAATTTAATAAAACATTTGATTTTAATCTAACCCAAACAAAACTTACTAGTTTCATAGTTCAGGCCCATCGGAAGAATGGATTAGAACTCGATTGGAGCCCATTCAAGCCCAAATTAAAAGCCATTCCTATATAGTTATATTCAAGCCTGTTTCAAGTACGCGGTTTTTTTCCTCGTTATCAATGGGGACCACTACCGTGGGAAAGGGGAGGGAAAAAGGAGGAGGAGACTTGTTGATTTTTACTTTTGTTGCAGTGATTTGTACTCAACTTCTTCATCACTAAAGTGCGAAGGTAGCTTTATATGTTGAAATCGCACTCCATCTGATTGTTATGAATGATTTAATTTCAACTCAACTCCCTAGATTTTTTCCCCCAAAATTGTGGTTTCTTGATAGCAATCTTCCTCTACCAAAAGCGATCTTCTCCACAGTATTTCTCTTGAATTTTTGATAGGGCTGTTTCTGGTTTTCTCCTTGCCCCTCAAGTGTAATCGATGAAATACGCAGGACCAAAATCCAGTTGGAGCAGTTGCCCCTGCTGGCCCCAGGTGGCTCTCGCCCCTAAATGCCTATAAATTTGGTTTGTTGGTGCCTGCTTACTGTATTTATGTGATTTGGATTGTTATTAGTTGGATATGAAGAAAATAAAGGTAAAAATTGAAAATAACTGATGCTGTGAATTAAATTGTAAGTTGTGGTCTGTTTGATTTCTGGAAGAATATTAGCAAATACTGCCATGGCCATGCCCCATAATTTTGCAAGCTGTACTAGTGACTTAATCCCAACTTTTCATGACAATAACGTGAGGACATACTTGGTCATGCACCTGGATGGCTGGGATTCAGGTGCCCCAGCAGCTGCACATATATGTAGCATTCCTCATTCAGAAATATATAAACTTGTAGGAAGAGTGCAACAAAGATGAAAGGAGATATTTTAGTTATGAACTCTGTATAACAGGTCATTGTCTATCTCAGTTTTAGACCATTCTAGTATATAATAATGGAGGAAAGGAAAAAGAAAAGGCAATATTGGTAAAAATGGATAGTTACCACCTTTCTCTCCTAACAAAGTAAGTGTCAAATATAGAACTTCTTAATGTAGTTGAACATCATGAAAAAAGGGGGGAAAAAAATCAAGTTTGAAGTGATTTTCATAAGTATTCTTGTGCGGGCATTTACTTGTAATTTTCCTTAGAATTGAACACGGGAAAAGGTTTTTTTTCAGTGTTCTCCTTACTTGATTCCAGCATCCAAGCAAAGCCTAATAGTTTCCTGAGTAACTGATTTGGATGTATTATGAATAAATTACATAAAACTAATGCTTGTGATATTTCTCTTTGTATTTCCTTTGGAAACTGTTTTCTAGCCTGAAGAGGGACAACAGTACATGGCATTTAAGAGACAAACTTCTTTATATCGTTTTCAACTTCTTATTTTATACCCAATCTGCCAAAAATTGATGGCTGCCATTTTCAGTTGTGAACAAGAAAATGAACTGTGGTCCTTTACCGTTGCTTAGTTCTCATGAGTTGATCATTCTTATTTACTAAAGTAGAAGATGGATCAAGATATATGTTGCTTAGTTCTGTGCTTTCGCAAAATTTTTGAAATTTTTGCTAATTTTTTGGCTCTTTAATGAATTTTTTATTCCCCTTTTTCCAATTTCATTTGTGTAATTTCAGTAGATAATGTAAAAGGTTTCATGGGTATACTAAACCTCTTTATCCTATTCCACATTATGGATCTTTTTTTTGTTTCTGTTGCTTATTATTCTGGTTTTACACAGAAAAGGAGGTCGAGGAATGTGAATGCTCCAGAGAAGGCAAAGTTGGAGACCATTTTGATGTGAAATTCAGTTAAATGAATATCAAGAATAGTTGAGAACGATTTTCTGGAACATCTCGTTACAGTAGAGCCAATTGTGTCATCAGATATTGGTTATCATCTACCATGGATGTAAACTCAATCCAAACTCCTGCTGGAGATAGTTTAAAGAAGAAAAAGAGAAAGAAAAGAAAAGAAAGGAAGAAGGCTAACAAAACAGGTGAACTGCTGAACATGAATCAGATGAATGATAATTTGGAAAAACCTGACATTGGAAAAATTAATTCTGCAGCCAGTAATGAAATGCAAAATATTCTTATTCTGGAATGGACAGTGCTGAGAAAAAAGAGAAGGAGAAAACAGAAGAAAAAGAAGGCTAAAAATGAAGGTGAACTTCAAAGCATGGATCTGATGGATGATCATTTGGAAGTTCCTGCCATTGGCAAACTTTGTATTGTAGCTGATAATGATTTGCAGAATAATCTTATTGAATTAGATTCAACTGCACAATTGCACGCGGGACAATCTAAAATGGATACAAGGTCAACTGAAAATGTAACAGAAGGGATAGAAAGGGAAAGGACGGAAGGGACAGTGCAGAGGAAAAAGAGAAAGAAGAAGCGGAACAAAAAGAAAGCTAAAAATGAAGGTGAACTTCAAAGTGTGGATCACAGGAATGCTCTTTACATTGGAAAAAATTGTCCTGGAGCAACTATTGACTTGCAGAATAATGTTACTGAGTTAGATTCAACTGCACAATCGCATGAGGAACGATCTAGGTCAACTGAAAATATTTCAGAAGAGACAGTAAATCTTATAGAAGGGACTATGCAGAGGAACAAGAGAAGGAGAAAACAGAACAAAAAGAAGGCTAAAAATAAAGATGAACTTCAAAGCTTGGATCAAATGGATGAAAATTTGGAAGCTCCCAACATCAGCATTGGGTTGGATTCAACTGCACAATTGCATGCTGAACAGTCTACAATGGGTACAAGGTCAACTGAAAATCTTGCAGAAGGGTTAGAACAAAGGAAAAGATGGAGAAAACACAACAAAAAGAGGGCCACTACTAAAGATGAACTTCAAAGTGCGAATTGTATGTCAAGTCCGAACTTGTCGGATATAAATCATGGAATAAGGAATGACGGTAAGCTAATTGCAAATGAGAGCACTACCCCTTCATTGCATTTGGTGAGTGATACAATGAGCCATGTTGGCTTAGGTAAACATAACAAGACTTCCTTGGCACCAGTTGACATTGATTCAAAATCTTATTCTGAATTCGTTGAGCAGGGATCTGGACCTTCGGAGGGACCAAGGGAGATGGAAGTTGAAATGTTTTCTTGTGAAAGCCGACATATACCTCTTCTTAATGAGATGTATAGTAAAAATGAGAAAATCGAGAATGAGTTCAATGAAGAAGAAATTATTGTATATCAGGGTAAAGATTCAGCTGTATGCTCTTCCTATGATGTGAAGGTGACCAAGCAGCTCTACTCTCCTATTTTGAAGCAAGATCATTTAGCAAATGATTCATCTGCATATCTAAAAATAGCACCGGTTGCTTCTGTTAGGAGAAAACTTCTTGTCCTCGATGTAAATGGTCTACTTGCAGACATTGTAATGCCAGCACCTAAATACTGTATTGCAGATACACATATCTTGGGACGGGCAGGTGAGTATAAAAATATTGCTCAATATTAGGAAGCAATTCACGATTTAACCTTATGCAAATATTTGGATGCCAAATTAGTGATTAAAATCTAATCAGCCACCACTTTTCTCTTGCAGTTTTCAGGAGACCTTTCTACGTTGATTTTCTAAAGTTTTGCTTTGAGAACTTTGATGTCGCCATATGGTCATCAAGATCTAAGTATTCATCGAAATTTTCTTTTTTATATTTCATTTCTTATGGCTGGATTTTGTTTCCTATTTTCTGGAAGTAACCAGATTCTGAAAGAAATATTAGCACTTTCTTCTTTGCCAGTTCTACTACTAGGTGTTTGTTTCTCTCCATAAATTTTGTAGCACTAACCTTAGCTATATACTTGACGTGCAGGAAAATTATTGATAAAGTTGTCAATTATTTATTGGGAGATCTACAACGCAAGTTGCTATTTTGTTGGGTAATCTTCTTCACAATCATCAAATAAAAGGATGTACATCCAAAATTAAATATTTTTAATACCTAATTTATTGGTTTGTCTTCAATAATCGTTCTTGTTTAAGGACTTTTAATACCACAATTCATCTCTTGCTATCATTTTTATCATGTGCCTTATCATACATGTCAGTTTGCAAAATGATGCAAGAACTTAAGTCACATTTTGATAGATCATAATTACAAATTTATATTTTCGGGACATCAACCGTTTAGTTTGCAGCTTATGCACGTGATTAGGAGTACTAAAATGACAGTAAGAGTACCATAAAGTACCTGTCACCACTAATTTATTTAAGCGTTCTGGAGCGAATAAAGTGGCACAGTTATTCTTTTATTTATGGCATGAAGGCCACACTCTACTGCGAGAAAACCATTAGAATGCTCATGTTTATTGAACCATTTGAATGTTTTGGTGAGAGGTTATTTCGCACATAGGTGTTGGAGGTGTGTTACCTCAAGCAGTAGAACATACACAACATTGCTCGACCGATATGTGTTTAATTTACACTTGGAGTTATGAATAAGCAGTTTCTGAGTTTAATTTACCATTGGATTTAGAATTAAGCAGTTTTTGAATTGCGCGTGTACCTTGTTATGTAGGATATGTCACAAAGTACTCAAACAAGTTTCAAAACTGTTGAAAACTTGCATAAACCCTTGGTATTGAAGGAGCTAAAGAAAATTTGGGAAAAAGAAGATGACCCTAATCTTCCTTGGGAGAAAGGATATTATAACGAATCAAACACATTGTTGGTGGATGATTCTCCTTACAAGGCCCTTCTCAACCCTGTAAGCTTTTTACCACTTGTTTTCTCCCAGGTCTTTCTAGTTCCCCTGTTTCTTATTCGTTAAAGGACATGTCCTAATTCTTAGCTTATGGTTTGTGCTTGTTGTAGCTGCACACTGCAATATTTCCATATTCATACCATTACAAGGATAAAAGTGACAATTCTCTAGGTGAGACTCTTTTCTTTATTTTTCTCTCATGTTTGTTGATTTTTGATTATTGTATTCTGTTGGAGTCTGTAATTAACAAGGGATGCCCAGTTTAATTTCTCTAGAATCTGGCACATATGGTTGATGCACTTAAAAAAAGTTCTCAAGTAAATTAATTTATATGTGCAAGATCACATGGTGACCATTTCTTGGGTAAATAAATGAAGGATTAGCTTATTGTTTTTAGATTTAGATATACATACACAACTTCGCCTAAGTTTTTCAATGCCAATCCCATGCCCTGGTACTGGAAGAGGGATAAAAGTTATACAGTATACATGGTAAAAGAAAGATTACACAAGCAGTAATACTGCAACATATATTTCAAATTCTATCTTTTTTTTGCTGAATCCAAAATTCACTAAAAGTTTGTTATGCCAGAGGTATTCTAAAAACTACTAACTAATTCAATAAAAGTATCCGTCCCCAAGTCTATACAAGATGAAGTTGTTTGAAGGCTCCAAATAAATAGAAAGAAAAACTGGATGCTTGACTCACAAAAAATGGTTTTCGCCAACACAAAAAGTCTTCTATTGCTCTCTCTATGCCACCAAAAAATTGCACAGAGGTTCTATCCAACAGTCTGCTGGCAAAATGATTGCATATTTATCACAAGTATTGAGATCTTACCCAGTCCATTTATTTGTTATTTGTTATCACAATTATTGATTCACAGTTCTGTTAATGACACGTCTGCTAGCAAAATGATTGCATATTTATCACATATATTGAGATCTTACACTGTCCAGTTATTTGTTATGATGAGCAGTTTTTGTTAATGACATGTCTTCACTTTTAAGTTTTAGTGCTCGTGATATATTTATATTACATTTGTGGTTGATAAAATAAAACTAAACTTGCGGAATTAAAACCTGTTTTACTAACTCTCTGGCTAGGTTTCATGTCTAAAGATATTAGGCCCATGTTTGGTATACATTCTTTTAAAATGCATTCTTTTAAAACTCATTTTCAACTACACATTTTTCAATAAGATAATATTTTTCATCACATCAATAACTTTTCCTTACTTTTTAATCACATATTTCTCATTATGTTATTATTTAAAATACATTCTTTCTTCAATAATATCCATCAAACATACCTTAGATTAGATAGCTTAAATGGATAGCCAAGTTCTGAATGAATCTTAGCCCTTGTTTGGCTGCCGTTTATGAAATGTTTATAATTGGTCAAATCAATTATTATCCAACTATTTTATGGGATCCACAAATATTGCCCTCCAATCGACCACTCGTTTTTATCTATTTATAGTTTGAACTGTTATAAACAACCCCGAAACATGCTTTTAGTATACAACAAGGATAGCAACATACAGCATAAAATTACTGTTTTAGCTGTTGATGAATTTTTTGATCTATTCCTTTGCTCTGTCTTTTTATTTTAGATCCATTTTTGCACAATATCTGTATTGCCCCATTTTTTGAGTTTGTAACATGGAAGATTGCCTCCATAATAAACTCATATCATCACAGGTCCTGGAGGTAATCTTCGAGTTTATTTGGAAGATATGTTAAAGTGTGACAATGTAAAGAAATATGTCGAGCAACATCCATTTGGTCAAGGTGCTATAGATGAGACAAACGAATTTTGGAGCTTCTACTCCAGGGTTCTTGAGAGTGTATCGGCTGTATCTGTCTAGAGACTGCTTTCCGTTGTCGGCTTGCTCATGGGACCATGAACCTGAGGAGCATTAGTGTTTTTTCTTTGATCTTAGTCTTTAACATGGGGAATGTAGATACAGCAGCAGATGTAGATGAGGCGATGACAAGTTTGACTGTCGAGTATAGACTTTGCTGAGGGTGAGTACAGTAGCTCTCCCCATTCTTTTTGTTGTTTATGATTCTTTATAAAAAAATTTACCTGTTGTATTTGTATTTTTGAGACAGGAAACGAATTTAAAAGATCTTCTGGTCATTTGCAAGTGTATTTATTGTTTTTGAAACGAGTTCTAGTTTTATATGGGGAAAGTTGAGATAATGAATAAAATATTATATTGTGAGGATTTCTCAGATAATAAAGTCTTCTTCTCCGGTCATCGGTGGTTTATCAGACCACGCCAATTTTATTTTATTTTTTCCTTCTCTTTATTGCTTGTTCGTTTTTGTCGCGTTAGCTGTGAATTGGTATTTTTTTTTCCCAACTGAAAATCTTGCTGCAAAAAAGGACGAGAACAAAGTGGGAGAAAAATAAAAATGAAATTTGAAGCATGGAACAATCATGTATTATTCAAGTTTAAACTAGACGATATATTTTATCTAGTCGTATTTAATTTGACGTACCAGATATGTGCCAAAGATAGATGGGCACACAATGAACTAAGATGCGGTTTAGTTGAATGCAATGCAATGACAAGCATGGTGCCAAAATGCCAGAATGTACAATCCAAGGCCGGTTGGCCTAAACCATTCAATTATTATTACCTTTTGCTGGTAATATAACACCAAAATCAATGGAATAATGCAGAGTAGATTATTTTGAGTTATTAAGCAATTATCATTTGGGAATTGGAATGGAATGGCTAACGTAGGAGCCATGTCTCATAAAGTAGCAAAATTGGGATAAGATCACCCTATTTTTGGCACATGCACATGAGGTTTGAGCTAACTTTTGAGAAGAAATGTACTTATAAGTTAGAATTTCAACTAGTCATTAATCTATGCATTTTCTTCTTTTGACTTAACAATGTTGTGCGTACATCTTCACCTTGTCTTTGCCTAATAATGAGAGAAGACGAAAATAATGCCAAAAACATGTATCTCATTTAGATGTGCCAAAAACGAGTTATTAAGTTATGGAGACTAAATATTATTGTTGTGCAAAGTCCGTCATTATGATTTAATATATCATCGAGAGAGAGAGAGAAAGAAGGGTGCGTGTGGTTTTTTTATTGTAAACTTATTTTAATCACAATAAATTATTGTAGCGGCGGACGAGGATATAGTCTTATATTAATACGAACTTCTATAAATCTTGTATGTTCTTTTGTCTTTTTCTTCTTTACTGCGATTTTATCGCTCTTGATATTATTGAATTAAGGTTTCTAATTCTCGACACAAGTTGTTTCTGCGTACTCAAATAATTTAGTCTACTTTAACACTTCAAATACCGGACAAAATGTAAAGTTAGACAGACACATGGGATGAACAATTGCACCTAAGTACACAAAAGTTGTAACCAATAAGTTGTTACATCAAATATTTGTATAAATCGTTGCATTTTTGTTAAAATGTATACTAGTTTTCAATGATGCAACTTTCGAGTTTTTGTTGTGCACAACCAACTATTACTCATCTCTAATAATGACTTTTTGGCTTGCCGCCGCGAGCTGGTTCACCATCATTTTTCTTTGTACGTACAAGAGTAGGTGTTGACCACAATATTTAATGGCTCGTTCGAGACAGCTCATTGCAACTCATTCTAGGTCACAAAATTGAGACCAAAATCTTGAATTATAGTGCACGAGATGCCAAAACGTCGCGGTTCTCAAAAGTCTTAAACTGGACCATTAGGCGTTAAATTTGAGGAAAAAAACACAATCTTGAAAACAGGCGAGGCCATCGGCTATAAAGCAGAAATCTTGACAATTCTTTATCCTCAAGTTGCGTGTATTCTTACATTTCTTTTTCTTTCATTTTTTTTTTCCTTTTAACTTCTTTATCTTTATCTTTTTTTTAAAAAAATAACTTCATGACTAATAATTGAGTTCTATATAAAGAAATAAGAAATTGAACACCGAATAAAATGCAAAACCTTAAGGGTACGTTTGATTGCGAGCATATAATTTGTATGGAAAGAAAATAAATTTTAAGCAATTAAATGGTCTAGAAATTATTTATATGAAAATTATTAATTAAATGTATTTGATTAATTTAGTTTCAACCTAGAAAATATTATAATTGTTCATTTTTTATTGATGTGTGGATGAGAGAGAGAGAGAGAGAGAGTGAATTACCAAGAAAATAAATACCACATCTCCCTAAAGAAAATATTTTCCTTGTAAAAAAATTGTCAATCAAACAGTACAAAAATTTAGAAATTAGATGAAAAAACACATTTTTCATGAAAAATATTGACAGTCAAATGCACCATAATTCTTTACTGTGGAGCTTTTGTGGATGTTTTTCTAGTTTTACTCCGAAGATACAAAGTTCGGTCACTCGTTAGCAAATGAAGGTATAATATCCTTAAATGTTAATCCTTTTGAACCCAACCATATGAAGTCGGATAAAAGGGAAGATAATAGTCATCATGTACGATTTTATGCCTTGAATGTTACGTGTTACAATAACTATAAAACAAGTCGAGATCCTATGACAAAGATCAATTATAGAAAGCAAGGAAAAAACCACAAAGATTGCATTTTTATTTCATTGTCTCGGTTGGTTAAAGATTGTTATTTTCACAACTAAAGTCATTTTTTTTCCTTTCAAATTTGTTCTAAAATAAATTTTATTAGGTAATGAAATTATATCTACAAATACTTGCATCCAGACATGTATCTAGTCATTTATATGTTGAACAAAGAGTAAATTTTATTTATTGCTTTTATTAGGAAAAATTCATGTTTGGACGAAGAACTGGATGAAATAACGGAATATGGCTAAAATAAAGGAAATTCAAAATTTGGGGACTAAAGTGCAAATACTCAAAAATTGTGACGGACCTCACGATGAAGATTCGAGAGTACTAAGTATCAATTGGGTGAGAAAAGAAGCTAAAGAGATGAAATATAGTCGAAATATTATCAAACACCAATTTCCAGCCGAAAGAGTTATACTCCATATTTTCTGCCTTAGATTGAAGCTCATTTTTGCATAGAAAACGCTCGAATTGAAAAATGATATCTATATAAGAATTGTATCCATATGAGTTAGCTTTCCAGTGTACTTTGAGTCGCCTGAATCAGATATCGAAAAAGAAAATTATGATTAAAAAACTGAATGTTGCTCGGGACAAGCCTAGGCGTGGGACCTAGGCTTGCAGAGAAGGCGTGCTCCTCCTCCTAATCTAACATGTCTGAGGCTGCCTAAAGGGTTCAGGCGCGTGACTCAGTATAAAACGGGGAAAAAATCATTTTTTTTCTTATATTTGTTATGGTAATAATTCAATATAATCTTATGACATCTTTTAAATACCAAAACTCGACCAAAACGTGGGGACCTTCTCAGAACTAAAAATTCATAGATTTAACATATTTTGGAGGCAAATAATGAGGCTAGATCATCAACATCAAGGGAATTGTGCAACATTCTTGAAGATTATCCATCCAAAATCAAAATTTCATTCAATTTCCATATTTCTTTGATCTTGGTGATATTTTTCTATAAATTCTTGTATAATTTAATTATTATGATGATTAGCTAAGTTTTTCTATTGTATTAGATGATTGAGGAATCCCATCTTTGTTTATTTCTATTCAAGATGATTAATTTGGGTATTTCTTGTTATTTTTTGATTGGTTTTGCATTTCCTTTGCACTATTTAATTGTTTGGTCATCAATTGAATAATTAGTTACTTGTTGTAGTGTAGGAATACTGACAATATATTTAGAACGTGGTAAAATCAACACATAGACAATAGGTATTAGGAATAATATCTATGGCATATGCAATCATGTAGATAACATAAATTAAAGAATAAAGCTATGTGTACATAATTCTTTACACAATCCTTTACACCCCCTCCAATGGAGGGGGATCCACACATAATAATATAATCATGGACCCCCCACCATGTGAGGGGGTGTAAAGAATTGTGTAATACATGAGGTGTACATGTAGCATCACCCTAAATTAAATGCATCATTTTCATATGAATTCGGACTAGGAATAAGATTGGGTCATAGTAATCATAGGTTGGTGTATATTGAAAAAGAGCATTTAGTTTATGTTATCTACCTGATGAATTCACGATAAATTCCACGTACGCAACTAAAAAAGGGGCCAAAGATACAATCGCCCAATAAATTATAAGCTATTATTACATAAATAGGATTCATCTTGTGATCAAAACAACTACAAACTTGGAATAATCTAGTCTAATCTAGCACATCAGCTATGCATAGAAGTGGGATATGTCCCCTTTAAGTGCCTAATGAAGCAAATAATTTATGATCAATGCACATGGTGATTAAATTTGGTGGGGGAACATGGGGTGTGAGGGTTGGGGTCCTCTCACATATGCCAATCATATTGAACAAATGGGGTAGTGTTTCTTGGAACATAGTATAGCTATTAATGATTAAGAATAGACTAGCTGGTTCTTGCCTTGTGAAATTCAGGCAACCCTCATGGGAATCTCTTCACTTTATCCACTTGCTCATGCAACCAACATTTCATCCAACAACCATTTCAAGATTCACATTAATTTTCAATTATTGGGTTACTAAAGTCAAATAATTTGAAAACTCACTTACATGTTCAACACACCGTGTTGAATAAAATTATTTTACCCATTACATTAGTAAGCAAACTGTCCTGCTCTAAATCAAGTATGCTACAAGTTTTATATATACACGCAAGAATTATTAAACTCGGCCAAAAAAAAAAAAAAAAAACTAACAATTAGACAATAACTTGATATTGCTTAACAGCTAATTCCATGATGTTGATATCATGGAATTAGCCAACTCATCTTGAAGCAAGTGAAGATAGTGGGGCTCCTTCCCTCGGACGCGAGCCCTCTTCCTCTGCACCTTACATGGAGTGCATTGGATATTATGATCAAGAAACGTATTGCATAAAACGTATGAAGATCGTATCTATGACAACTACATCAGTTATCAACCATCGTGAATTTCATTGGTTTACTTATTATGTTTCATTGTACTTCCTGTTTTTAATTACTCTTCTCTAGCCGGAGGTTTGGGCCATGCGTCTACGAACCCCCCTCCTAGTCCCGGTTTTCCTTTTTCTTTTTATTAGTAAAATACTCACGTAATGTGGTTTGATTATGAAATCCTCAAAATTTCCGTCAGTGAATAAAGTAAGAAAGTAAAAAATGTTAAATATTAACAACAAATAATTCTATCGAAATAAAATAACAGTTTAACAATAACTTATTTAGTTAATTGTAGCTCAAGTTTATTTCTCTCTTGTGGGGGGGGGGGGGGGGGGGGGTTTTTTTTTTTTTTTTNAAAAAAAGTGACAAAAAAACAAAAAAAAAAAAAAAAAATAAAAAAAAAAAACACAAAAAAAAATAAAAAAAAATAGGCCACGTTTGTCTATGTTTCTGCTTTTACTTCTAGTCTTGTAGAAGATTTTCTCAGACGGAGTCACTAAATTTCAGTTTCCTCTAAACAACACAAAATAGTTTTAAAAAATTACCCAAACATATTCAAAAACAATTTCTTAATTTTAAAAGTAACTTTTAACTTTTCAAAAGCCATGTCAAACATACCCTTGGTACTGTTCAATGCTAAATTTCAATAATCTCAAATCTAGGTAACTTGGGCATCAGACTTGGATGTTGATTGTAATAGATGAGAAGAAAAATGAAGACAAACCAACAAAGCATTAATTTGTGAAGGGTGAGAAGCAGGCAAATGTTGACCACTGGGAATTTTATGCCCCAAAAACAACACAGAGTAAGAGCCAAAAACAGCTATATTCTTATCATCTAAACTGAAATTCTGATTGCAGGTCCCTATCTTTATTGTTTAAAGGGCATCCACCACCTTGAATAATTTTTCGAAAGTCTACTTGAATAAGGTTTTAGATTAAGCAAGACTAATGTGACTTTCTCGTAAAGCTCTTTTACAAGAAGCACAGCTTATCCCAAACATGGCCTTAAGAGAGTGTTCAAAATTCCTAAGGAAGTTTCAACCTGCAAGGAAGGCGTAACGATATGAACCGGAGGAGGAGTAGAAACAATTAGGGTATGTTCTCTTTACCATTTTCAAGCCGTTTTGAGTGTTTTCAGTTATAATCAAATCAAAATTTTCAAAATGCGTTTTGGGTGTTTTCAAAACAATTTTTTAAAATGCCAAAAAGAACACATTTTCAACAATCTCAAAATGGACACTTAAAACACAAAATTCAAAATGAATTCAAAACTCAAAACACAAAACTGAAATACAAAAAGAATACCCCATTAATGGTTTGAACAACATTTCAACTAAACTGTTCTTTTTACTGGAAATGGAAGCAATTCAAAATGAATTCAAAACTTAAAATACAAAACTGAAATACAAAGAGAACACCCCATTAATGGTTTGAACAACATTTCAACTAAACTGTTCCTTTTACTGGCAATGGAAGCAATGCATCTGATTCAATTATTGCTACTTAATAATAAGCTTATCACAACGTCTTTGGAACTTTGTGCAGAATAATTTATCACTGCCAACTGACGAACCCTAACAAACCCCTAGATTAAAACCCAGTTTGGTTTTGTTAAAAATCAAATTTTAGTAAATTTCGATAAATGTTGATGAAACGTGTGATTGAACAGTTGATAAAAGTTGTGGAGCTCATGAAATAGGGTTAAAAATGAGTTCCAAAAAATGGGGGCCAAACATGAGCTAGATTAGTTAAAGAAGAAGACGAAGAAGAAAAAGTTAAAAATCTTACCGAACCGTACTGTAAAGTAGTTGTAGAAGAGAGTGATTGGAGAAGGGTGTTTGCCGGTACACTAATAAACATGTTACATGCATTATCAAGACTCGACATGCCCATATACAAGTCCAGGATCTGGACCCATGCACAGTATATAGTCCTAATGAAATGGAAGAAAATGACCAGTAAAAATATGCCCCACTTATTCACGCTAGCTCTGACCCACATTCTCTCAGCAAATAAATTAGATACAGCCTTTATATATAGTTGCATTCCCATTACCTATCTAAAAACTCTAGCCTTGAGAGAGCCAAAGGATTAAAGAAATCCCACAGAAACATCTCCTTTTGGGTCTCTAGATTTTTTTCTACAGTTAGCTCTCAGTTCTGTTTCTGTTAAGACCTCTTCTACTACAGACCTGTGTCGACCCCAAACTTATTCAGAACAAAAAACTGTTTCATTGTGGTGAGTACTGTCTTTCCTATTCTCTTCTGTTGCATAGAATTTTTGCATAGTTCCACTCCCCTTAAAATCTAAATAAGGGAAAATGAACAGTATCTTTCTGCTGACAAAGCCAAAATTCCTTAGAAACTTTATATTGCATGTATATATGATCTAAACATGTTGAATTATTGAATCAGGTAACCATCTTCCTGTAAATGAAAATCCAGTAGAGTTTTAGAGGCAGGAACTGAAGAAATTTGTGGAGCAGCAAGATAGAAATTTGAAAATTGGCATAAAAAGAAACAGAAATGTGTGCAAAAGCATTACCTTCGTTCACAGACGAAGACCAGGATCTGCGTAAGCAGATAGGGTGTATGAATGGGATATTTCAGCTCTTTGATCGCCACCATTTCCCAACACGCCGGCGCATCAGCAGCCAAAACCACAAAAGACTACTTCCAGGTGATTCTTTTTGAAACCAGAAAGTTAAGATTCAAATATGCATTTATTTAAAATTTTATTTCATATTTTCGACACATTTAGGTATAGTTTTGTGCGTTCATCTTCTTTAATACTTTTAAAGGTATCTGACATTGTGAGCGCAGACTGGTTCCAGTTTTCCTGCATTCACAATGATCATCCCCTTTGTGCATTTTATATGACAGTAATCCTTTTAGCGTACCAATACAGAAATGAAAATATATTATTTTGCAATAAACGATAAATGCATAGAGCTATCTACAATCTATTATATAAGATGGTAGAAAATGAGTTAAACACCACCTTCAATAAGGTGAAAGCTCCAGCAAAAATATCACTATACAATCATAGTTCGGTACTTACCAACTTTCTACACACATCATCCTTCATCTTCTGTTTACAAAATTAATTATATAAGCATACTCTGTATAAGTCATACCCGTATCATTTTGCACATCACAAGTTAAATTTTTATCGTCACCTGCCAACACTATCTAACATTATAATAATTCTGTGCTTGTTAAGGTGCTCACCACCACAATATGAACCCTAGACATGCAACAGAAACAGTAAAGGTACGATTCTGAACAAGCTCCTTTTGTGGATGTTTTTTTTTTGGAAGAAATAGAAAAACTCCCATGTTATAGTTCGGCATAACCGATTGTTTATTTGACAAGAGGTAATTGCGTGACTTACATTCACAGGGAAAAGATTTGGAGGAGGCGCGGAAAGAGTCGAGAATCTCCTTTGAATCATCGCGAGCCTCATGTTCATCTTCCTCCTGTTCATCCATGCTTTCATCATCTGATTCCAATAAAATGGCTCAACCAGAAGCTATTTCATTCATTCCAAAAAAAAATCGTGAAACCCCACATCAAACCACAGCCATGAAAGAACAAAATACTTCATTTGCCACGGGCCAGCAGTCCCTTGATCTCCGGGATGTAGTGAAGGATTCAATGTACAGAGAAACCCGTGGCTTGTCCATCAAATCTAAGGCTAAAGATGAAAGAAGAGGCTCTGTGTTGAAGCACATTGACTCTCCCAGGCCTTCTCAGCAATTCAAAACTGGACAGTCATGGGTTGCTGTTTCTAATGGATCAATTCAGGATCTTGGTAAGCTCCAGGAAATAACACAGAAATACAAGGATGAGCGGCCGGCACTTCCTCGTTTCTCTTACGATGAAAGAGAATCACGAGATACATTGAATTCTACCATTCAGCGCAAAGAACTTCCCAGGTTATCGTTGGACAGTAGAGCTAGTACTGTGAAGAGTTCAGCCCTTCAATCCAGATCAAACTTTCTTTTACGGGATCTGCATATAGGGAACGAAAACTCCAGCCAAGTTCTACCCTCTAACCAAGAACCAGGAAGTAACAAAAGATCATCCAATGTTGTGGCAAAGCTAATGGGCTTGGAAGCCTTCTCAGACGTTATTTCCACAAGTGAGAGCAGGATTATAAAGATCAAGTCATGCGCTGACATAGATTCTGTTTCAAGATCGCCAAAACCAGCTGGCATGGGCAAGCACACTCAAGATTCTTGTTCCCCACGTGTTTTGCAAAAGGATCCTGCCTCGTCAAACTTGGGTAATGCCAATTCAGTCATGAAACTGACTTCATGCTCAAGGTTTCCACCTGAACCAGCTCCAGGGAGGCAGCCAAATACTAGTCAAGGCTCTCGAAAGCAAGCTTTAAAAAATAGGAAATCTTCTGCAATGACCCCAAATATGTCCTCTGTTTATGGTGAGATTGAGAAAAGGATAACAGAAATTGAATTCCCGAAATCTGATAAGGATCTCGCTGCCCTAAAACATATTCTTGAAGCAATGGAGAAAACAAGACAAAGGTTGGAGAACAGAAAAGGGGACCTCACCGAATCTGCATGTCAAACAAGCAGATACAGTGTGGAGAACATTATCTCTGATCTGGATTTTAGATTGTCCAAGCGGCAGGATCAACGGATTAACCACCAAGTTCCCACCGTGAAGGGGACCATCCCTCCAAAGACTTCTATTATGATCATGAAACCAGCCAAAGCGTTTGACAAAATCAAGATTTCAAGTTCTTCTTCGGTTCCAGCTCCAGATACATGGCATTTGCAAAAACTCAGAACTCGGGATTCTACACATAACCGGGAGAGTTCAGTTCAAAAAAATCCAGGAAAAGATTTTACGCCAAGGAATAATCTGAAAGATCCTAGTTGGCATATTCATTCCACTGATAAGAATATCAATTGGAGAACTTCAGAAGTACAGCAAACCTCAAAACCACCTCAATGCATTAAGATAGAAAGCCGTGCTACCAGTGGAAGGAGTTCTGGAATGGCGAGTTCAAGATTAAAACAGAAGAAGCAACAATCTCATCCCACCACCCCACCATCTGACTCGGGCATGATTAAAAAGAAATGTAATAAGCAAGTCGTAGCATCGGGTCACTCAAATAGAAAACTGCACCTGAAATCAACCAATCTGCAGCATAGTTATGACCAACTGAACGAGCGCAGTGGTGACACAAGATACTCAAGTCACCAAAGTGATACAGCTTCTGTGATGTCAGAAAGCAATATTAGTCTCGTCTCACAGATAGAAACAGAGGTCGTCAGCTTGGCTCATTCCATTGAGATGAATGCCAAACAGAACCAAGAACCTATACATAGGGTAAGTGCCATTTATTTTAGTGCCCGTCCTGTGGTTCTAACTGACTAGTTAACAAGTTCCATTTTTCGCCTTCCAGAATTCTGCAGCAAGATTGAGGGAAGACACAATAACAGCTGAACTTGCAACAACTATACTGGAACAACCAAGTCCTGTCTCAGTTCTTGATGCAGCATTTTGCAGAGATGACTCACCATCTCCTGTCAAGAAGATATCAACTGCTTTTAGAGGTATTGCTCTTTCTCTGAGTAACATCCATCTTGTATGTCACTAAGATAAATTACATTGCAATGTGTAAGAAGGCTTAACCGTACTAACAGAAGAATGAGTTACATAAATATTACAGAAAATGAACCAATACAAGAGAGTGGCACATAATGAAATGCAGATTCTCCCTGTATTTATGTACCATTTCAACAGAAGTGAGGCTTTTATATTATTCTTTAGATAGTTGACAGGCCACCACAGAATTTGCAGGTCATATAAGACCAGCTGTCATCAATATGTCAGTTCCACAATCAAACACAGAAAAGAATATAGAAGAAAAACAAGATAGTGAATAAATCCTTTATTACTGCTTTATTAGCAAAGGCTGAACTTTTCAGTCACTCTAACCTTTATTAGAGCAATGACATTTGTTGTTAATTAGAAATGAACCACATAGAAAAATGCTTTACTTTCAAACCTATGTGATTTTGAATCTCATACGAAAAAGTTTGGCAAATGATAAAGTGAAACAGGGGCATTGAAATGAAAAATTTGGTACAAAAGGAATTACGCAAAAAGAAATAAAAAACCAATGACTATAGGAATGCAAAAGGAGAATACTCATCTATGCACAATTTCTTTTGTGTGCAATTACATAGCAAAAGCATATTTTGACTAATAGATATTGTTGTGTCTTGTCAATACCTGAACAGGTGATGAAAGTCCAAATTTTGACGAGGCAGAATGGCATGTCGAGAATCTAAATGGTTTACCAGATCACAAAAGATTTCACGGGCACAGTCGCAGGAAGTTAGATATGATTGAGGACTTGGTTCATAAGCTTAGATTATTGAACCCCACTCCTTATGTGGATACTCTGGACCACAATACATTCATGTATGAGAGCTCCAATCCAGTTCTGCAATATATTACAAAGATATTACTGGCATCAGGACTCCTCAGAGATGTAATACCAGTCCCAACAGTCAATCAGCACCACTCGTCATACCATTTGATCAACCCTGACTTGTTTGATGTCCTTGAACAAACTGAGCAAAACATGAAGCTGGAAAATGAAGAACTTGATGACAAGAATGCTTGGTTAAAATTTAATCAGAAAATTCACAGAAGAATTGTTTTTGATACAGTCAATGAAATTCTTGTTCACAAATTTGCTTCACGGGGATTATTCACCCTGGGACGAGAAAAGTTGAACCAAGAAGAGCTTCCAAAAGAAATTCATTTAGAGCTGAATCGTCTTCAGAGAAAGCAATATTGCAGCCAAGATGACGAGGATGATGGATTTGTGAGAATTTTGAAGGAAGATATGATGCATCAATCGGCAGATTGGGCAGAGTCCACTTGTGAGATCCCAGCCTTGGTATTAGACATTGAGCGCCTAATCTTCAAAGACCTGATTAATGAGGCAGTCATGAGAGAAGCTATTGGGCCTGCACAATTGACCAAGGAGGCATTGCTGAGTTGCAGAGAACTGTTTACCATGTAATTTTGCCGAGCTCTACATTTCCTTGTTATGAATATTTTTCCTCTTCGTGCCTAAAATAAAATATTTCACAAATATCACGATGCAGTAAAATATCTCTGTTAGTTGAGAGCAAAAATCTTCATGTAAGCATGTAGTAGCTTCTTGTGGTCATATGCTATGTACAGAATCTAAAAGCGAATTGCATACTATAACTAAACTCCAGTTAAATGGTAGAAAATATATTGAAGAATATTTCATGACAGAGTAATATTATTCCCCTCATCCTGTTAATTATGAGGAACACCAAATCACAAGCTGTAACTCATGTGGAACTCTTAAAAACAGGTACATAGAAGAACACACTCACTCCCCTCACCTCCAAATAAGAAAAACAACATTTCTCAACGACAAAAAGTAAGCAGCAAAACAAATTATCTCAACAAGCAAACTAGCGTAGTTTAACCTAGAGATATTTCAACGAACATAAACAAGAAAAATAAAGCATAAACCACCATTCATGGTAAAATCAAGTGATTGTCATTTATCCACAAGTCATCACCCAAACCATCTCCGTAAGTCCAGAACTCAGAATGATAAACCAACAAAGTACATCCCGAACTGGTACAAGATCATAAAATCGTGTTTAAAGATACAATTCTCCAGATAGTTAACCACATTTGTTTTGTTCCCAAATAGAGTATCTCTTCACTTTTGCTTCCCAAAAACCTCTCACCAAGTTCGCATCAGTCACACTAGAAAATCCAGAACTGGAATCACTGAAATGTGAAGTCAATTCTAAAATAAGCAAGGAAGAAATGTACAGAGAAAACACATTTTAGGAAGAAATGTCCTCTAGGAAATTTACAAACATAGTCTCCCTCTAATCTTACCCAGAATTCATATTAGCTTGTGCCTTTAACCAAACCAAGTCAGGCACTTGAACAAAGTCAACACCAAGTACATCTTAAAACGTAACTTTAATGCAAGCTCGAAATTTCCCATTTATGTTCTGACACTTCCAGATTCGAGTTTGCTATCAACATAAGAAACCTAAATGATTTAAGACAAGTTTTTGTACATAATTTATAATTATACCTGCTAAATTCAGATACGAATAAGATTTGCTCCATCGTCTTTAATTCACTGCAAAAGAGAGATAAAATTGGTGCAAAGAGAGTGATAGTGTCTCGGTTAATTATAAATGTCAAATATTTTTTTAGCTAATTGTTTTTAACCTAGGGTAATAAATGACAATACATGAAAGTCCTCCATTCCCCAGCATTCCAGTTTGCTTCCAAGAAATTCTTCCGATTTTTGTTCTTTTCTCTCAAGTCTATTCCTGCAGATAAGATGCAGGTTAAATAATGCAAATAGGGAAAACCATAACTCTAATGTGGAGGGGAACAGTCTTCGCTATGCTCAGAACTGCTGCTACCAATGTGTCCTTTCTTTTTGTAATAGAAAATGAGTTATTTAAAGAGATGATGCGGAGAGTATTGGAACTGTTAAGGAAAATAGTCAAATACAATTCCTAAATCCATTCTCTAATTATCCCAAATTGCTGGTGGCATGTTCACGTGGTCGTAGTTGATCGATACTCTCCTCAGCTAACTTTTGGTAGGGTCTCATGTAATTATGCACAAGAGATCCGTACTTGTATGTATTCGGCATCTTGAGTTCAATGAGAAGTGGAAACGTCTATTGCATGCTCTAAACAATGTAACTTTGTGGTGATGGGACATCTATGGAAATGCAATTATATGCTTATCACTTCTGAAATGTCAAATTGTGGATTTTGTAGCCTGAATTTCTATTGCTTAATTTCTGCCTCTAGTCATGCATTGGTGCGTTTACTTGTTGCATTCTAATAACCGTCCATCAAGTAACAAACACCTAACGAAAGTAAACGGTGTCTTCCTCTTCTTTTAAATGCTTTATGCAGTGAACGTCTTCCTTTTTTCCCAATGACCTGCAATGGCATTCCTTCAAACTTAAACGTTGAGGTTCGTCACTGGGTTATTAATAATTAGTACCACTAAAAATTTTAAAACTATGCAACTAGCTCACCTCTTTCAAAGAACATGGTACATTTACTTTGTAACTCAGTCTGAGTAAACTTCTAGTGCAACACAGCTGGATTCCTGCCTGAGTTATGAAGATAAGTATAGATAGATGATGATGAAATATGGCTGGTTTCGTTATTATTATTTTCTTTTTATTTTTTTCCATTTAATAGTTATTAGTGCCTGTTTGCTAAAATTTTCTAGGAGTGTAATGACTTTAGTGCAATTTCAATTAGTTGGCAATCAGGTTAGAATTCTCTTATTTACCTTGCAGCTGACAGTAGCATTCACTTGGCCTTTTCTGAATAAAGTTAATACATTTTGGGAGTCTCTCTCTCTCTCTTTCAATCCAATTTTCGGCATTCAATCTTGAATCAATTTTGTTCTTGTGGAGCCATGTTGAGATCCTCGTAGAGATGCCACCAAGGAGCCGACCCAATGCTTGCAACCAAGCTGTGAATGATGGGATGGAGTTTGGAGGGAGGAGATGGCGCAACAAAAACAACAAATCGACTCATTAACCCAACGAATCGACTCGGTCTTGACCCAACAGCATGAGATGTCTAGAGGATTAGGACGTGGAATGAGGGTGGCTATGGAAGACGCTACACTCCCATAGGAGGCGAAGGACCGAACCAAAGCGCGAGAGGAGGTGCTGGCACACCGCCTGGGGCAGAGAGGCAGCCTGTAGATGCTGCTGCAAGGGGAAATGAGTGAATGAATCATGAGCTACAGTGGGGAGATGATGATTTTAGCAAGGGGAATAGCAGGTGGTTTTGCACGTTCAAGTAGTAGGTCCGTAACAGAATCATCCAAAAACGTTATATATGTAGGGTCAGCCAAGCTGTGTTAAATTTGGTGGATATGTTATTCTTCATAATTCGCCTTAAATGAATTTGTGCATGGAATTGCAACCCAAGATGCTTAATAGAAAATTCCTCGTCGTGAACATGAAGATTAACTCATGACTTAAGCTTGCGTAAACCCTGTGAGAACACGAAGCAACATCTTCTCCTTTCTAGGGTGTTCTTTAGCAGCATCAGTCCTTATGCATGAGTGTAATTGAATATGACTTTGCAACACAATTTAAATCTGGTAATCTTGTTCATGAGCAGACAGATTTTAACACAAGCAAGTAAACTCTATAAATCCGTCATGGGGGGTCTACAATTCCTATTTCTTTATACCTTTTTTTTTCTCTATTTTCTCGATCCAATTGGAACAACCGCTCCCTAATAGAAGGCGTGTACGCATGGCTTAAAAAATCCTAATTACGGCCCGCCTTAGAGTGAGGCAAACAAAAAAGCCTCAAGGCACTAAAAGTGAGCCAGTTTTTAGAGGCACACGCCTCACAACACGGCCTGAAGGCTTGTGAGGGTGCGCTTCTTAATTTTCCAAACCTATTTACTTTGTTTTAGGTGTGGACCCACACAAATTAATAAAATTTTTGATTGACTTAGAGCTTGTTTGGTGGGGATTAAAATCGGATTAAAATTGAAAAATTAGTCGTTATTGTTGACTTTTATTCGAACGAGTGAGACCCAATAACGGCTATATTTTCAATTTTAATTAGATTAAAATCCAAACCGAACAAGCTATTACTTTGTATATTGGCTCAATATCAAGATAGAAGGACACCTAGGAAACTAGGCTATTTTCCAAGGCTAAGGTAACAAAGTTGGACCGAGATTCACGACTAACTTCCTCTACAAAAATAGTAGAATGTTGTAGTTGAGAGTGGGACTAGATCAGAAATAAAGTATCATCCCATGCTTTTGGGGTATGAAACTAGGCTATACGAAGTATCAAGAAAAAAAAAATGATATACTGAGTATCTCCGCTTACAATTCCAGTAAACCTACTTACCCCATTAAAACATTAAAAAATTGTGCCTCTTTTAGACCCCGCTTTGAGAATAGTCCACTACCCCCACCAACTAAAGCAACAACTCTTTTTTGTTACTCTAGATTTCTTTTGTTTGTTTACACACTCAATTTAAATTGTTCTATTATGAATGACAGAGACACGCCGACACATGATTGTTTAGAAAAGTAGGACACAAATACCTTGATTAAATTTTTTAAAATTTTAAATTTGTATCTTATATTTTATTTTATACTTTTTTAATATTAAATATAGGACAAGGCACATGCCAAATTGAACACCTGCTCAAGAAATGTACCCAAAGTATTCCCTTGAGCATTAAAAATTTAAGGAATAAGTAAAAAATAAGACGCGGCATGTGACTTATTGGACCCATGTCATTGGATCCGAGGAGTTCAGGTACCCAACATGACATCATACATGTCAAACACAGGTACACCACCCTTACAAGTGTCCATGCATCATATGTTATAAATTTTGAGAAATATTTATGATTTATTATTTGCTTAATTTACATTTAATAGTTTTTTTATATTTTTTTGGTTTACGACGAGGCTTACGCTTCACTTCTCACTATTTGATTATGCCTTTTTATAAATTTGCTATACAATTACAAACTCTTGTGGCTGTAATGTACATGTAGACAAAATTAAATCAGCTCAAATCAACTCTGGATAAATTTTGACATCACCATTCAACTTCAAGAAAAGAAAGCTATAAATCAGAAGAAACCTTACAATAAAACTTCTATACTATCAAGTAGCAATCTAATTTTCCAAGAAATGGTGGATTGTGGACAGATTAACTAAAAATGAACATAAAGAATGTAGCCATAATTGTCTTTCAACTGCTTAATGATCATTTCATTGGACTCCACCAATTATAAACCTCTATTTGCTCAAATGAACAACACTCCTTTAATCATCCATTAGTTGAGAGGGTCAAGACAACTATATATTAAAGAGTAAGATATTTAAAAGCCCAATTTCAATTTCAGTTATGAAGATATTATCAATAAATGTTCAAGATAACTACATACCTCAAGAACTCAATAAAGTGGGAACAATACGCCTCTAGCAGTCTGTAAAGCTCGTAAAGAGAAAGTTCTAGCTCACTAAATGACTACCCTGGAACTGGGGTTTGAAGCAGTTCCCTAAACAAGTATAAAGAGTACAACCAAACATGCCTAATCTACAAATGACCTATTCCTGCATATTTTCCCCATTTTCGTGGAGAACTTGCTTTGATGTCCTATTCTTCTCATCTTTTTCAACATGATAGTTGCCAAACCAAAGAGCAATTTTGTCAGAGTCTGCAGTTTGAGAGTCAGTTGGCCTACCTAAAGACTTCCTGCTACTTTTAAACTTAAATTGTATGTTGGGCCTCCCATCCAAGAGAATATTTCTCTTGTCCTCTTTGGATTCACATGGACTGCTCCAAACAGCTTCAGTGATGCGCACAGATTGCTCTATAGCTGAAAAACGATTATCCATAAATGTGTGATCCTGATGTCTCCATGCTGCCTCATCATAAAATTTAGCTGGAAGAACAGGCAACGATGCCTCCCCTTCCCCAAATTGAAGAGGTGGGGCAAGAAATGGATTACTTTCTGCTGCTTTTAGTGTCTTTGCTGCATCCCATGGTTCAACAGCCACCCCTCCTTCAAACCCATTACTAAACAATTTCTTCTGCATAGTTAACAGGGGCGTCTCAAACTTTTTATTCTGCTCATCAACCTGCTGTATTATATTATTGTTCCAAGTCTCCAATTCTTTCTCATTCCCCAATATTAAATCCTTATAAGTCTCGGGATCAGGAAACCTGGGCAACCAATCAGGTATATGCTCCTTGGGAGAGCTTTCACCCGTTTGCTTCAAACCAGGGTTCAGTTTTCTTTCTTTTACAACAGGAAAACAGGGAACTGAATACACAAACGGGTTTTCCTCCACTTCTTCAATGTACCTAATAATATCCCTAACTACTGCCGAACCAGGAAGACAATGACTAGGGTCAGAACCCCCCGAAAGCCCCTGAATGAAGCCCAGATCCTCCAACCCCTGAATCACATCAAACGCATTACCCTCGCTCCTATTGGCTAAATTGGCTTTATAATTTGCAGTTCTTCCCACCTCTGTAATGTACCTGACCGCTACATCTGATAGAGTATTCAGTGCGGACTGCTGGATGCTCTGAAACCCTAAGCTCTCGCATAACTGAGCCACAGCAATTCTAGAAATGGCCTCAGCAAAATCGTCAATTCCTAACTTCTTGTTCTTCTTTTTTGCCTGTAGACTTTCCTTCTCACTCAAGAATCCGATGTTAGCCTTTCCATTTTCATCGCTCATATTCAACAACGCTTCATATCATATCCTATCAAATAACTGAGCCACGTTCTTCTTTTTTGCCTGTAGACTTTCCTTCTCACTCAAGAATCCGATGTTAGCCTTTCCATTTTTATCGCTCATATTCAACAACGCTTCATATCATATCCTATCAAATAACTGAGCCACAGCAATTCTAGCAATGGCCTCAGCAAAATCGTCAATTCCCAACTTCTTGTTCTTCTTTTTTGCCTGTATACTTTCCTTCTCACTCAAGAATCCAACGTTAGCCTTCCCATTTTCATCGTTTATATTCAAGAACGCTTCATATCATATCATATCCTATCAAATAACTTCACTCGAAGTGAATTTCCCGCAAATGCAATTCGCCCCAAGAATCGCATTTCACAGGAAAATCATCGAGACAAGAAAAAATAAAAATCAAACCCGAGGCTCAAGCCAAGACAAAAGAATTCAACTAGACTGGGTTAAAGAATTGGACAGCAGAGAACTTACCCAGGATCTTAGGGTTTGAAGTGGAGCCCAAGTTGAGACGAAGAGAATCAAATCAATTAAGCCTGAGTAATTTAATCAGATATTAATGGATTATTGAATGACTTTGCAGAGGTTTGATTTGAATAAAGACAAATTAAATCTCTATAAACCCTCGAGGAAGACGAATTGAAATGGTGAGGAGTCGCAACTGTAAATATCCGGGAAGCATTGGCGATTGGCGTGTGATAAACCGCGATTTATGAATAAAATAAGGTTAATTTCAAAAAAGTCACTGACGTTTGTTAACAATTTCAAAATGGTCATTAATTTTGTTTTTCTTACAGTAGAGGTCATGCAAGTTTTTAATAGTTACACTAATGGTCACTCGACTGACATTATAAATCAAGGATTCTACATGGCTCCATTAAATGTCGAGTCGACCCCATCTAAACATCATCAACCCCATTTGAACGTTATTTCGTAATTCTCCAATATCTCGTATCTTCAAAGCCTTTTGTGTTGATATTTAACAGTGCCACGTAGAATTTTTTGTGAATATTTTCATCCCGAAAGACGGTTTAAAATATGAGTGATCACTACTATAAAAATACTTCAATGATCATTATTAAAAATTTTAATAAACTTCAATAACAGTTGTTAAATCTAACCCAATTAAAAATGATAAATAAATTATTTATTTATTTTTTTCGTTGAGGGGTATCAAATATTTTATTGAAATTAACCAAATTAGAATATCAATCATGCTACTTGTATAATAATTTTTTGGGTAATTGACACAAAACGTCCCTACCTTTGGGGTTGATTTTGGAAACCGTCCCTACCTTTCATTTCTTGACATTTATACCATTACCTGTCACTTTTTCGTGCGCTGAACGTTATTTGCACAATATTTTGACCATTTTACCATCCATTCAAATAAAACAAAAAGAAAAGAAAAACTAAAAAATTAATCGCAGTCATGCTCCCAAAATTTTTAAAAAGTGCAAATTAGTCCAAAATCCTTATTAAAACATTAAAAAAAATATCTATGTCTCTCTCTCTTCTCGCCTCTTCCTCCCTACGGCCACCTTCATCCTCCATAAAACGACCACCAACCGCCACCAAAGCCCCCGGACATCACCAAAATTGGAACCGCCTCATCTCCCTCTACAACCTCCGCCTACCAACTGCCCGTAAATTAGTAGAAAAGTGTCTACACTGCTCTCCCCAATACAGTGCACGCAGTCACGATTTGTGTCCAAATAACTCCACCTTCGGCCACTTTCTTGATCGTGGACCACCACCACAACACTCTCCTCAAATAGGCGCATCTAGCCCTACCTTGGGTCATCGTCAATCTTGCTCAGAAACGGCTGAATTTATGAGAATCCTAAGTGAGTTATGTGTAAGTTCGGCCCTAAAAAAAATCGATGATTTTTTTTGTTGCAAACACTCAATTCTGTACACAACATCAATTCATGATGGTAATTTAATGGGTCAAACACCAATTGATCCAATTAACAATCCAATTGATGGACTGAAATCGAATTTAACCAAAGAGAGCGAGATGAATGTTCAGGCTTCAATTGATGATGGTATTGATGTTAATGGTCACAATTCGACCAAATGCATGATGTAGAGGTTATTACAGCAATGGGCAATGATTCAATTGAAGGCCAAATGATCTCCAATTGTTCTCCCCAACCCACGGGAACTCCCTTCAAATCTAAATTGATGGCTTGTGAAATAGATATGTGGGTTAAACTCACCGGTGGTGAAGGGAGCATTTTCCGACGATTTAGGCGGCGGTGGGTGGCGACCGTAGGGAGGAAGAGGCGAGAAGAGAGAGAGAGATATATTTTTTTAATTTTTAATGTTTTAATAAGGATTTTGGATTAATTTGTACTTTTTAAAAACTTTGAGAGTATGACTACAATTAATTCTTTAGTTTTTCTTTTCCTTTTGTTTTATTTGAATGGATGGTAAAATAGTCAAAATATGGTGAAAAGGGCGTTCAACGCACGAAAAGTGATAGGTTAGGGTATGAATGTCAAGAAATGATAAGTAATGACGATTTCCAAAATCAACCCCAAAGGTAGGGACGTTTTGGGCCAATTACCCTATTTTTTTTACAATTTTGGTTGACAACTCACACATGACGTTATCACATTCATTCATTTTAAAAATTAATTTTTAAATCAGTTATCCAGATTTTGACAAAATCAATGTTGTCAACTATAATTGTCAACAACAATTGTACAAATATGTTAATTCTTAGAGTATTTTTAATTATTTATATTTGTGATCGATGATATTTTATGATAAAATATTGTAATAGCATGTTTGAAATGATTAACAAATATTTTGTTATCATTTTGTATTTATTACTTTTTTTTTTTGTGAAAATTTTGCAATATAGGTCCTCAAATCTTTCAAAACATGTTATCGAGTTCCAAACCTTTTCATCTTAACAGGTACCCCCAATATTTTGATGAATATGTGCCAGAGGATCTTTGGATATTTTAGGCCCTGTTCGGGAGGGATTAAAAGTCAATTAAAATTGAAAATATGGTCGTTATTGGGTCCCACTCGTCTAATAAAAGTCAACAATAACGGCTATATTTTCAATTTTAATCCGATTTTAATCCCTCCCATACAAGGCCTTAATATTTACTCATCGGTAATTTTTTTCAATACAAGGTTAATCGTACATTTCATAAATTACACTTTGGTGTATATTACGTGCAAANATTTTTTAATGAGAGTTTTTATTAAGGGTCCGTTTGATTGCAAATGATGAAAAAATGGGTGGAAAGAAAATATTTTATAGGAAATTGATTTGCCTATAAATTATTTTACTGGGAATTGTAATTAATTGTGTTTTATTGATATAATTTTTCATGGAAAATATTTAAAGTTTGGTGTCTGTTTGACTTCTTTTTTATGAAAATTATCCATTAAAGTGATATTTTTTTACCATTGGGTCTAAAATTTGTTTCAATTGCAAAAAAAAAAAAAAAATGAAAAAAATTATCATACTTAATATCATTCGTTTGATTTTATTTTGAATGGAAATTGTCAAGAAAAGTGATAAATTTTTTTTACCATTGTATCTAGATTTTTTCCCAATTGCAAAAAAATAAAAATAAAAACTGGAAATTTTTTTTCCCACCAAAACATCAAGATTTATTTTCCTCAAAAAAGTGGAAAATGAGAAAATGTGGAAAAAAATTTCCCAAGAAAATTTTTCCTATCAAACACTATAAAAGTTCAAAAATTTTCATTTTCCATGAAAAAAAAGGCGAATCAAACAGAGTCTAATTTCCCCATTGTATTATGGGATATCTCAAATTCTTATAATAATGAGGAAAATCTGTACCACGAAGTTGATAGAATTCAACGGACATGTACATTACAAAGGTCTTGATTTGGTAAACTATCAAACACAACAAAAGAAGTATTTAATTTCCACTTCCATGCAAAAGAAGTGTTTGATGGGAGAAATTTGGCCAAGAAAAAATTTTCCACCCCCCCACCCCACGTGCCCTCGTTCCTTGTTTTTAGGTAGGAAAAGCTTTTTTAGGTGGCCCCTCCCATTTGGCAATGAAAACAAATTTCATAATTAGTTATAAAAAAAATTTCACTTTAATAGACAATTTTAATATGTAAAATAAAGTCAAACGAATATTAAACTTTAACGAAAAAAATGATTTTTTTAGAAATAAATTTCGTTTTTATTTTACTTTTTGGCATTGGAATCAAATTTTATAACCAATTGTGGAAAAAATATCACTTTAATGGATAATTTCCATGTAAAACTAAGTCAAACGAACACAAAATTTAAAAATTTTCCACCCAAAAAATTATATCAATCTAACACACTTAAAGTATGTTTGGGACACATTCTTTTGAAAGAATGTATTATTGAATAGTAAATGAATGGAGAATGTGTGGTTAAAAATGAAGGAAAAGTTATTGAGTTGATGGAAAATATTATTTTATTGAATAATGTGTGGTTGAAAATGAGAAAAAGAATGAGAATGAAAAAATAATGTGTACCAAATAGGGCCTTAATTAACAATTCCCTACAAAACATTTTCTAGACAATTATTTTCCTTGAAATTTATTTTCTTTTCACCAATTTTCCATCCTTGCAATCAAACGGACCCTAAGGTTGTGTTTGATACACAACTTTTTCCTTGAAAAATGGAAAAACTTTTCTATTTTCATGCAAAAGAAGTGTTTGATAGGAGAAATTTGGCCAATAAAAAATTTCCCACCCCGCAACCCACGCGCTCTCTTTCCTTGTTTTTAGGGAAAAGCTTTTCCCACAATTTTGGTGGGAAAAATTTTTCTAGCTGACTGCTGCTCCTTTTATTTTCTTGTAATGAAAACAAATTTCATAACCAGTTATAAAAATAAATTTCAATTTAATAGACAATTTTAATGTAAAACAAAGTCAAACGAATACTAAATTTTGATTAAAAAAATGATTTTTTAGGAAACAATTTTTTTTTCCCTTTTTTTTTTTTTTTTTTTTTTTTT